CTGCATGGCGTGCCTCTGTCCCAGCCCTGAGCCCCCTCCCTCACCATGAACCCCTCATCCCCGGCCCCACCCCAGAGCCTGCACCCCCAGCTGGAGCCCTCACCCTCTGCACCCGAATCCTCTGTCCCAGCCCTGAGCCCCCTCCTGCACCCTGAACCCATCAGCCCCACTCCCACCACACATCACCTCCATATTGGTGCACATAGCAAAATTCATTCCGCACATGGACGTACAAAATTAGAGGAACCACTGGTCCAGGCCCATGTCAACATCAGCCCTGCGGCTGCAGCCGGGACGGACACGTCTTCAGTCCCTCTCACACAGCCCACGCTCACCGTCTCCAGCCGCTCACTGTGTCCCGCCTGCACCCCTGTAGCCAGCCCAGAGCGTTCCTCGCGTCGCCCCGTCTGACGCACACTGGAGAGGGTTTGGTCCTTTTGGTTTGTCTCTGCTCCTGCGCCACCCAGCCGCGGGGCCAGAGTTTCTCATTTCTGCAGATCGCTCCTTTGATCCCCCACACAAGGCGACTGCAACTTTCTTATCAAGTTCGTCTTTGCCTTCCCCCTTCCACCCTTGCTCTCTGGCACGTCTGACCATGACGGAGCCATTTCCTGCCCTTTCCCACGTGAGCACCTGGCCAATCCACCACGCTGCTGAGCGGCCAGTCTCCATAACGTTCCCATCTCCCATTGGAGGAACAATCCGCTTTCCCTCCACTCCCTGCAGCCCCAGGCCGAAGACACACACCGCCGAGCGGCCCTGCTCCCCACTAGCCCATCTGCCGAACTGACCAGCAACTTTCACCAGTCCCGCACTTAGAACAACCTTGTGAATTCAACCCAGTGGAAACCGGAAAAGCAGATTTATCCAGAACTACCTCAGCAGGTGCCGGTGGGCCCACTGTCCAGCAACTCCTAGATTCAGGCAGACCCAGCCCCTCCTCTGACGGGCCCCCCACTCCCTTCCTGGCTCCCCGGCCTGAACAGCGCTATTCCCTGCGTCTCCCCCTCCAGCACCACCAGAGCACCTGGGGGGGGGGGAAACACTGCAGGTGCGTTCCCAGCTCTGCCACGGGACATTGGGCAAGGCTCCCCCTCTGTCCAGCACCAAATCTCCTCCTCCCTGGGGTGGCGGCAGGCTGCGGGGGTGCTGTGATGAAAGGGGAAAGGCGTGGGTGCTATCGCTCTTCCCCCAACCAGCCAGGGGCCCTCACATTTCTGTCCACCTGAGACAGACCATAGCAATGGCAGGCCCAGGATAGGAGGGGACGCCCCTTAGAACGGGCTTGGGACGGGACAGGACGGGACACCCTGCAGAACACGGCACCCCACGGAACAGGCCCAGGAAGGGATGGGGCACACCACAGAACAG